AAGACCAAACAGCAAAAACAAAAAATTGGTTCCCATATCAAATGTATGAATAGATATATAGGCATGTATACACATAATATAGATGTGCATGTCTAAATGTTTATGTATACGTAATTGTGTATATGCACATATACATCAATGTATGCATTGGTTTTCGGAGATGACCCCTTTCAACTCAGTAGATCACTGCGATTCTTGGAGAGGACGCGCTTGTTCTGTTCCCGCTTCTCAGTGGTCGCCTGCCAAGGTGTCAGCAGGTCTTCCTGGCTTGGCTCAGCAGACCCTCGATCATCCTAGCATGCAAGCCCTAAACCCTTCAAAACCCCTGAGCCCTACACGCCCATATGTATGTATATAGAGATACATCTACAGGGCAGCATACATGTATACATATATATATATATAGACCCTGAACCCCAAACTCCAATGGCTTTTCGGCCTTGTGAATGGCCATGTCCGAGATCTTCATGGAGACCCGGTGGTTCCCAGGCTTTCCGGGCTTACCCGCGCCAACAGCCCTCATTGACGGACAGTGCTTCATTTAGGGTTTAGGTTTTGGGGTTTAGGGTTTAGGTTTTGAGGATTAGGGGTGTAGGTATTGGCTTTAGGGTGCCACCCGGTGACAATTTATATTGGGATCATCTTGGGCTATCTGTAACTATATGTAGGGACTATATGAGCTATAGTCTAAGCTCCTAGTATCCCCCTCATTTACCCTTATAGAAATCCCCTATATAGCCCCCTTACAGGAGTTTAGACTCCAGCTCATGTGTTTAGATGTCCATGCTTATACTGACACATGCGGACTGGCATATGTATCTATGTATATATTTAAGCATCAACAGATAGTCGATAATCAACCCTGTCTCACAGTAGAAGCTACTTGGCTCCTCTCTTGCTGACCATTCTCAGGGCGCAGCATGGAAATGCTCTTCCTGGCAAGGGCTCTGCAGGGTTTCAGTTGCCCATGCAGCAAAGGGAGCAAGGGAAGGGGCGAAGCCTGGCTCTGGCCCTAAATCATAGGTAAAATATGCCTTTATTCGCTATTGTTACTCTTGTCACTGGTATTCATATCATCTTTGTTATTTTATTTTGGGTCTTTTTTGTTGGGAGGCTTCCTATATGAAGGCTATATTGCTACGGAGGTTTGGAATCCAAAGTCTCCTGCCAATGTTGTGCAGTCGCGTGGTGACGGTCTGTGGCTCCTGCTCCTGAAGCAAATGCGTAGAACCAACAGAGCTGAATCTACTGCGGTATCTGTAATTTGGGTACTGCCCCCCCTCAGTAACAGTTGGATAATAAGTATAATATGGTTCTATATAGCCCTCAGGAGGACCCCTAATATAGACTGTTACTCGGTGGGGGCAGTACCCAATCTCTAATGGAGTAGCACGGGAAAGGATAAGAACCTGACTCCCTGGTGCTTAGGAGGGAATGGGGGAATGGATCCCTATACTAGTCCCTATATAATCCCTAACAATAATTCCTA